TGCCAATATCTTTGATAAATTAATATCTAAAGTGGTTGCGAGGCATCGCAAGGTGAGCATCGTGGGCTTTTCGATTTCGTGGCATTCAATTCTTACAATTGCTTTACAATTGCGGATAAAATACGACTCGACAGTATAAACAAGCATAAACCTAATAACGCTCGAGCATAATAATAACATCGCGCCGATATAAACACACGCGTAAAAGCATAGGAAGTGTTTCTCTGTCCGCATAAGTGTTTGGCATGATGCATGATTTTCACTTGTGACCGCTTGTGTGGTGCGACCATTAACGTCGATAATCTTTATTCGTCGTCCGCTCGTATTGCTTACATTGCTCATGTTCCTCGCGGGGCCCTCCAGGCTAACGGACTCTTCGACCAGACTTATGGGTGGACTCATGAGCGAATTGTTATTTTATTGCCGGGTCTATTTGGACGTAATATCCGAGTTGCACCGGGCGTAATGTGCGTGGAACCAGCGCCTTTTCGGTTTTATTTATATTGCAGCCGCGCGCCACCCCCGAAATAATTGACGCAATAAAAGTTAATGTTTCATATTTCATGTGAGTCTAAACCTACGCCAACCCACATGGTCGTGCGAGCGCGTGTGTTCGATGAGTGAGGGTTCCCCCCGCGATCTGGGGAACATCAAAGGCGAAAGGTAATAAAGCGCGCGCGCAATGTGCGACGGCGAGGTGTTTGCTAGGGGCCCGAGGGTTGATTCACTCCGCAATCAACAAGCACCTGACAAGCAATGCACACATTATGCGCCCACCAAATTCAGCCAGTCGGACAGAAAGTGGTAATAACGTTGGCTAACATGGCGACAATGCAGTAAGAATTTTTCTACCGTTTGAAAAAATACATATTTTTTGCCTTTTGGATAAAACTGAACTTCATGTGCGGTGATGCAGAGCAAAAGCGCGATGACAAGTTCTTGTCTGTCTCCGGAATGCGGTGTGCTGCCAGGGCTGGTCCTGGTCCAGTCGTTCATCTCGTTGGACGAGACGCGAATACGAATGCGATGCACGCGCGTTCTCGCGAAGTAACAGAGTGCCTTCATAATTTATCTGATTATCAATAATTTCTTCCAAGCCTGAAATTTCAACATCTGCGCATTTGCGCATTCACTTTCGCGCTCCTCACCTCGAGCAAAAAAATCCAGTTGTCCGAGATATTCGCCGACACTGCCGCGGTCTCCAAAAGAAAAATAAAACCGACTATACATCTCTCGCAGTGCATAAATAATAAGGATTCGTTGTCGGCTTTTTGTCTTGAGTCTTTTCGTTCTTATTTTTGCATGTAGCGCTGAGCGGGTTTTCAGCGTGGCGTGTCTTAATGCATCGCCTTATCGGCATTATTGCTCTCGGTAGGTGTCGACAGATAACTCGGAATTAATGCACAATTATTATTTTTGCTCTGCTGCGCCCCGTGATGCAGACACGCAGGCGGAATGATGCGAAATAATAAAGTTTATCTGGGCACAAAGCGCGCCAACGTGCCAAGTTGCATTGATAACAACTTCTTTGCACAGCGGCCGGATTCTGCTAATTTAGTGAAATAATCTCGAAAGCAGATGCGACTGGCTCTGGATTCGTACACAATTATACGTATCTCTTGGAATAAATCAATCTGCGAGTGCATCTAACGATTCTAACGCATCGCTTTAATTGGCATCGTTCACATAGCAAGCACTGCACTCGACGCACAAAGAAGTGAAACTAGAAATCCCAACAAACACCCACATTTAGAGCACTCAAGTTCAATCAAGATTAAACCCACAACAAAACGTTTGCGTTTGTAATAATCTTGTTATTATGGCTATTTCAAGAGGTTTGACAACATAACCGTACTGCATAGGAATGAGGTTATGTCTCGAGTTGTAGACTAATAAAAACTCAATTTCGTTTGGTGTTTAAAAAGTAAACAACGCTGTGGCGGGCAATGATTTATAGTTTCAATGATTGATAATGCGTGGATAATTTGATGCCTGGTTCGTGTTCGTTTTTCTCACATTGCTCAAGCAGTGCCAAGCTTAATACCAGTGTTTGGGGCACTCGAAACTCGTACAATTGTAGAAGAATAATGATGAGATGTGACAGCTCGTTGGGAATACCAATTTGTAAAATATTAATAGATCGTCTGTTCGACTGTTTGCTTCGTGGGTTTCTGGAGTTGCTGCACATGCAGTTTGCGGTTTGATACTTTTGTTCGTGTAGGCTGCTCAAGTTTTTTTTACTTTAGTTTTTGAGTTCCGTGCTAATGCGAAAAGCAAACACAAATAAAAGTTGCAATTTGATGGAGGCATTAAAATGCCGCCGCGAAGTGCGTCTAGACACGAAGCGATTGTGAATTTGCGTGAATTCGCCTTCCTTTCTATTCTCGCTGTTCTCGTATTTTAATTCGGACAATTATTGCAATCCAACGCTAATGACATTTGCGGCAACCATTACCGTGCTAATTTTAGTTCGACTGTTACAACTCAGAAGGAAACGCATAAAACATTTGATGCGTCATTTGGAGTTTGTTCGCCGCATGTGCCAATAAAGAAAAAAATCGTTTCTCGCGGAAGACCACCGCTTAATGCATTCTTAATATTTTTCCGTTGGATGATTAATGTAACACGTTCCTGTCGATCTCGTATTACCACCGCGCATTACTTAAATTTCATGAACGCGCGCCACTGGCCGTAAAGAAGCGCGGAGGATTTTGAATTTTAAGTAGTCGTAAAGCGCGCGAGCGATATCGGTGGCGACGAGGGCAAGGCGTTTAAGAAGAAAATTCAATATCGCACCGGTTTCAATTTTATGGCCAATATATCATTCCAATTGATTCCGTAGAATTTTCTCCATTGGTGGTAGTGTGTGTGTGTGTATATAGGCGCATAGGCTCTGCATATTTTATACTCTTCGGCTGCCGGCTACCCGAGTGGCAATCTTCCTACATACATACGTGCAAACGTGCGCCATCAATATCTAAACGCTTACCGGCTTACGGCATATCGGGGTGTGAGTACACGCAAGGAATGAAGAACGCTTACGTATAGTATTGAGTATTCTAACATATCTAATAAATTTAGATGACGACCGTTATTGATATTATGTATAGGTCGCTCACTTACCTACAAGTAGCGAAAACTCATAATTAAATTACGTATACGTATGTCGCTCTTGAACATGTTTTTGACTTTATTTTATTGTTTGCGTTTAGTGTGATACGTGTTTGATGTAATTTCCAACTTCAGCGGGCTCGTCATGCCTTGGCATGACATGACACGAAAAAACATGGCGGCACATGTCTGCTAAGCGATATCTGATCGAATTATCACGGAAAGCGGGCTGATCACGCATCAAAGCAACGTCACGTCACTGGAATGCACACGAAATCTTGTGGTAAATTTACTTTTTTCAAGTCGCGTTCGTGATTCGGAAATTACACTTGCACTTGAGCTTACAGCGGTAGCAAATGTTGCATGTGATTTTTATGTTCTTGAACTTTCTCCCAAAGTAGAAAAGTTTAAAAATCAATTTCTTAAACAAAGATAGTTTTGCACTTTGGAAAAGTGTTTGACAAAGTGTGTGGTAAATTGCAAGGAATAAAACTGAAATTGCAGCAAGGAACACGGAAGACAGACTGGTATATTTATTCAGAATGTACGTTATATAGATACTACCCGGGAAGAAATGCGCGAGCAACGCAAACACCAATACCAACATGGCGTACGCTAGGTCTTCCATTTCGTTGTATGGCATGAATTGCTAGAAAGATATATATCCGGTGCGGATTTATCGTTTTCATACTAGCAACATCAATATCGTTGCCGCTATTGGACGAAGAGGATCCTGAGAAAACGGAAATAGGAAACCGACGCGCTTCGCATCCTCCTCGGATCTAAAAGACGTTAATATTCGCGTAGAAATTGTCCTTCCTGCATGCGCACGTTCGCAGTATCGTTTGTTACAGATATATGTTGACTTTGCGAAGAGTCGGCACGTCTGCACGTACTCGAACGGATAATAGACGATCATCAGTAACAATCTTGAGCGAGTTGAACTTCGACACCGGCCGGATTCATGACTCAAAAGTTGCGATTGTTCTCGATTTATTGTTGCAATAAACACAATAAATTGTTGAATTTATCTTTCGCTTCTCGTTTCCTTATTGTGGCGCTGTGCTGACGTGCTTGCCATAAACAACTGTCTTCTACGGCAACGCGCATCTTCATTTTTTAAGTGCTGCAGAATATTTTTGACTCCAACGTCTAGGCCGACTAATGAATTACTAAAAGACCACCCGTGTTACTCTTCTGAATTGACTCATCGGGGCATCGGAGTGCAACAGAACGCGGCGAGGCCGAGCTTTTCATGAATGAAACCCACTGTCTGTGCGCTTACTCCGCGCCTGTGATCTTCATTAATTTCACAAACGCTCCATGGGCCTATACATTTTAACTAATCTCACATGTGCATAATGCTGAGTTGTGGCGGCGGCCGTAGTCAGATGAGTAACATTTTTAATTTAGCGTCGGACGAGCTTCGCGCAGGTTGTGAAAGGATGAAAGAGTCGACATCCCGCTGTTTGTTCGTCGCTCGCTTTCGCAGCGAAATAAATTCGTTTAATTAATAAGGATGCTATGAAGAAGCGGTCATATTTAATTAAAATTTATTACGAATTGCACATCGTCGGTTTTGCATCTCGTCGCAAATCTCGTTACACTCGTGCGCTGCATAATATAAAAACAGCACATTGCTGATGTATATTTATACGCGCTGCGTGCGTAGCGCATGCCTGCAAAAAGCGTTAATTTATTAGTTTTACAAGCTCATCAAGCATAATATATCTACATAATACAAACGAGCATATTTATTTGTTCAACGGGGTAATCAAAATACAAATTAAAATACCTATGATTTCCCAACAATCCAATAATTAATTCATTATTTAAACACTGCTTGTGTCAGAAATAACAAATAATAAATATTTCTTTCTTTTTTACAGTTTTGCGCGAAGATTTTCGCGTCGTACCAACGGACACACGCGTCGCAGCTGGTGAAACGGCTCTTTTACAATGCTCACCGCCAAAGGGACATCCCGAACCCACTGTTACATGGAAGAAGGATAACGTCAATTTGGAGTTGGATGGCCGTCGTATGCACATTGTGGACGGTGGAAATTTGATGATTTCCGATGTGAGGCAACACGACCAGGGCCGGTATCAATGCATGGCGCACAATATGGTCGGCACGCGTGAATCTTCGGCCGCCACTCTGACCGTGCATGAAAAACCGAGATTCAATAAAGAACCCAGCGATGTTGTGGCGGCGAGTGGGAAATCAGTCGTTTTTCACTGCTCCGTGTATGGTGAACCGACGCCAACGGTGATGTGGCGCCGCGAAGACGGCAAGATGCCCGTGGGACGTGCTCGCATCATGGACGACAAGTCGCTACTCATCGACAACGTCCAAACTGCCGACGAGGGCTTGTACATCTGTGATGCAGAAAACGTTGTTGGCCGCATCTCTGCCAAGGCTTCACTTGTTGTTAATTGTAAGTTTACTTGGCTAATATTTGGTTGAAGTTAATTGAATTCATCTTAGACGCTGAAAAAAATTTCTTCAAATCTTGTTTTTGAGTCGAAAAAATTCAAGCAGAACACAATGGATCGTCTGTCAATTATAAATCAGTCTTGTTAAAAGTCGTCGGCAAGTTTGTTTTTCGCATTTTTGGTCATTTGTATTCCGGCGTTTTAGCCGAAAACTTTTTTCGCGTCTAGACTGCCTGAAACCCTCCAGCATGCTGCTTTTGTATCGATACATATTTTATATCGCCTGCTTTACGATCGGTTTTCTCCTTTAATAGCTCCTTCGACGTTTATCGAACGTCCGAAAGATCAAAAGGTCGGGCTGAACGGCGTGGTGGAGTTTCATTGCGCCGCCACCGGGCATCCCCCGCCTTCCGTCTTCTGGCGCAAGGAGGGTTCCCAGATGCTCATGTTCCCTGACACGTCGTACGGACACATGCATGTAAATGCGCACGGCACGCTGAAAATTCAAGGCGTGCAGCGTGAAGACGCTGGTTTTCTTGTGTGTTCCGCGTTGAGCGTCGCTGGATCGAATTCGGTACGCGCATTCCTGCAAGTCACCTCCGTCGCCGACCTGCCGCCGCCGATTATTCAAATCGGTCCAGCGAACCAAACGCTACCGTTCAACAGCCAAGTCACTTTGCATTGCAAAGCGGCGACTCCAGACGGCGCGCCGGTGAAGGTGCGCTGGCTCAAGGACGGCAAACTGTTGACGGAGGATCTGCCTGATCGACACACCATCAACAATTCCGGCACGCTGGACATTGACAGTAAGTGGTCACGATAACGATTTGCATCTCGAGCGGTTTGTTTACGCTTTTCGTCGTTGTTTGCGTTACAGATTTGCGGGTTGAAGATTCCGGCCTCTACACGTGCTCGGCAACCTCGGAGAGCGGCGAAAGTTCGTGGTCGGCATCGCTGAGCGTGGTCGAGGGTCCTTCGTCGTCACTGCATCGTAGCCCCGATCCGTCCACTTTCCCGCGGGCGCCTCCGGCTCCTCGCATTCTAAACGCAACGGAATCCAGCGTAAGTTTAACCTGGGAAAGCGCCGATGAGGAAAGTGGCCTCGTGGGCTACACTGTCGAGTATTGGAGTCCGGATTTACAAACTGGTTGGGTGGTCGCTGCTCATAGAGTGCCTAATTCTTATATGGTTGTGCGTGAATTAAAACCGGACAGTTCGTATGTATTTATTGTGCGTGCGGAAAATGCTCACGGTTTATCACCAGCGAGTATTGTGTCAGGTACAGCGCGCACCTTGACAAATTCGCGAGCAGTGCCCCGATCAGAATTAGATACGGCTCGTACAATGTTAAGCACGAAACTAGTGGATATCCATGATGCGCGACCATCATCTTCAAGTTCAGTGAAACTAACTTGGACTTTACGTGCACCTGATTATGTGGAAGGACTTTACATTCGCTTTCGCGAGTTATCGGGTGGTTCTCACAACTACAACATCCTCACAGTATTAGACATTCATACTAAGAATTATATTGTGAGCAATCTGAAGAAGTTCACAAAGTACGAATTTTTCATCTCTCCGTTTTACAAATCCGTCGAAGGACAACCATCGAATTCACGCGTTGCTCAAACCTTGGAAGATGTTCCGTCCGCTCCACCTGACAGCATCACAGCGGGTGTCTTCAATAATTCTGCCGGTTGGGTGCGATGGTCACCACCTCCCCCTCAGCATCACAATGGCATCATTATTGGATACAAGATACAAATGAAAGGCAGCGCTTCGCGATTGCTTTTAATGAATGCCAGCACTACGTCTGTTTTAATTGGTAATCTCACTTCAGGTGGACTCTACAATGTTCGAGTTGCGGCTTTAACTCATGCTGGGCTTGGACCATTTTCGAACGCTGTGCCATTATTGACAGCTCCGCGTGCTCAAAGCCCGAGAACCTTGGGCCCATTGGTGCCTTTAGTTCGACAGACATGGTTTGTTATCTTGTTGGCCGCGATGGCGCTACTTTTGGTTGCCATAACTGGTGGATTATTGTATTTGAAACGTAAACAATCAATGAGCAAAGAACTGGGACAATTAGCTGTGCCAGTGGTCAACGCGGCTCAACTGAACGCTAAGGAAAGTTTGTGGATTGATCGTGGCTGGAGAGCTGCTGACTGCGACAAAGATTCATCGATTCCACTTGCGCCTCCCGCTGATTATGCGGAGGTTGATACTAGGAGCTTATCTACATTTTACAACTGCAAAAAATCACCGGACAATCCAACACCGTATGCCACTACAATGTTACTACCACCACCGAATTGGAGCGAAATAATTCCGCCACCGCCTGATCATCCACCACCGGAATGTCCACGTGAAAATGCTCCCGCTCCCCCACCAAGGGGTGGGAGTAGTTGTGGAAGTGTTGGTGGTGGATACGCGTGCTATGCCTTGCATGTGCCAACGTCTAACATGCATGGTCAGTGTAATCGTGCCGCCATGCAACAATACGCGCGCGCCGGCTCATGCCAGAATTGTCAGAACTGCCAGAATTGCGATGCGCACTGCTCTCTAGCGAGTGGCAGTTCCAACGGAAGACGGTCAACGCCACGCGGACATTGTCATCACCCGCACACATGTGATAGTAACGGCGTGAACAACAAGCTGTGGGGTGGTCCGCAGCAGTGGGACGAAACTGGTGATGCCGATGGCGAGATGGATCGGCACTCGTGTTCCAGTAGCCATGATACGACGTGTTCATGCAGCGAGTCATCATGCTTATACGCTGAAGCCGGTCCGTCCGTCAATCCCAGGCCGATGATGCCGGTGCAGCACTGCCAAATGAAACGTTGTGTCAAATAAACGTTTTTATGCCACGTAAGAAACAATTCTTAAGTTTAAGCTACCGATGATATATGTCCACTGATAACACAGAACGCAATACGATTACGTAACATATCCTGTACACCATGTACGTTATGCACTCCAGGAATAGGAGGTACAGCAACTATCCGAGTCCGCACACGCGCCGCTGTTTTGGCCTAACTAAATATATTATTAACTAATCATATCAGAACTGAATCCCAGCGTTAAACAACGCAACATTGACGATGCGTAATGGGATAATTTACTAGTCCATAGTTGTTTAGTTACCAAGTGAGTGAAGGATTTGCACCCAGTGACATATAAATCAAAAATGACTTTCGATAGCACTTGCGTCGCATACGCAAGCTCCTTCACTCCGATGCGAATTCAACTATAAACTGTCTTCCTGTATCCAACACAAAGCGAAAACACGAAATATCCGAGACGGAAGACAATAAAAAAACTATGCCGTGTTCCTTTTTAACTATTTTATATCTATATCAATCGTCGCCATTAAATTCAGCCATGCCATCAACTTATTCTTAGTTAATTCATGTTATTAATTAATGTTAAAGGCCGTTTATAACGAGCAAATGTTTCTGCACGCGACGTTTTTACACTGAACTGAACGGATACTTTCCTAAACTTATCCTTAATTAAACTAGTAAGCAATATTGCCACGATGAAAATATAAATAACCCTTAAAATGCATTTAACATACATTGTAGTTACATGAAATATTCGAAAGAAAACGTGCGTTTGAATGATACCGTTCGATGAACGGTGTGGCGACATTTCATACCACCGATTCGATAAAGTCAATCTGTATCATCCAGACGCACCGACATAACGTATAAATTGTGATTTAGAATTATGAATATTAATGAATATTACGACGATAATTGTAATCCTTTCTGAAGTTGTACATAGTAGACATTGCCGGCTTTGTATATAAACCAAGATGACGAAGAAAATTAAAATAATGGAAATAACTACGAATACAATATTGTTATAAATATTGGTGAGTAGGTATTTGTATTGACTTTGTATAGCGAAATATATTATAAATTAAAACATGGAAATGAACGAACAGCTGTAAGATATTGAATTGTAGATATTTATTATGAGTTTACTTATTTTGTTAATTTATCAAATTAATTGTAATCGTACTTATTAAACAAGAAGTTTTTGAAATATTTATTGTGTCCCATGAGTTTGTTTTAACAATGAAATATTGGTGAAAGATTTATTCCAGATACAGTTCAAATCAAATTCATTCAGAGTACGCAAAATTTGTAGTGTCGCAGATGCAGAAGAAAGGGAAATACGTGTAGCAGTATGTTATGGAGCAGCAGAGAACATAAGCAGCAACATGTAAGTAGAATAATGATAGTAGCAAGGCAAATTAACTAAACTAACAATAGAGATTGTCATATAACTAATTTATTGAAATATTAATTTTTAACATCATTTACTTATTTATTTGGAATGCTAATTTATTTCGTTGCTTGTTATTGATTTGGTTTGTTATTGTTTTTATCTTGTAACATTCCCGCGTGTTGGCGATACGTAGTGGCGTACTGATAGTAACCGCATGTTCTCGCCGTTAGCTGTGCACACTCTGTTCCATTCCGGTTGCCGAATGAGTCGCGTGTTCATCGCGACTATTTTGATTCTTTAGATCGTTAAAAAGAAAATTAATCGATTTTCAGTACCCAATTGCCAGTACACACCGGGGACGTGGTTTTACTACGTAATTGCACGCGTTGAATGTTCAACAATCGCGAATTAATCGTCGGTTTACCGGGGCGCGGGGCATGTTCCGTCGGCCGTCGCTGAATATAAGTCGTGTTGGTCTACATGTGCCCAGCGTGCGTGTCCATCGGCATATAGGAAAAACTTATAATTATTTCCTGCAGATAGACAACGTTGGTGCCCAGAAGAAGTTTGTGAGTGCCCCGATCCATGGAGTTTGCAATACCTATAGCGGAAGTGTTGGAGATGCGCGTACTTTAAGGCAAGTCTTTACTACTACGGGAAATGATAGTCGCTAATTGTTTTCTTGTTTAATATGTATCTATTGTTTAATGTTGTCAATAAAACACAATGTACCTATAGTTATAATCTCATTCATATTTCTTTGTGGTATCCTCTTTGTCGTTTTCAGTTTTAAATAATATGGCATATAAGTCTTATGTGTGAGCAGTGGGTATAAGATAAGTAACTGTTGCTTAAATTGTGTTGTTGTTTTAAAAACATGATAAAAGTAGAAACATAAATAGAAGAATCAAATATTAATGATAAAAACACTCGGTGGTCGAGTGGAGACGTGCACCTGCTGGCATGCTAGTAGACACGGATCGAATCTCAGGCGTAACAGGCATTTTTCTCAAATATAAAAATATCAGGTGTAATTTGGGTTGCATATATGAATTGCAACGAAGAATATGAGAAATTGAAATGCAAGTGAAGGCAATAAGAGATGTAAGAAAGTAAATGGAGAACGGGAGAACAGAGAAATAAATAGAAGGAGTAGTAAGAATAGGAGAAGATAGAAGAAAGAGAACATGGGAGGATCATCTGATTTTTAAATTTTTTGGCACGTGTCGTTATAAGACAGCCTACTGCTTCCGTGCGTCCATTGCTCCCGGCCCAACCTACAGCTACGATGTCTCTGCGCTTCATCCCCGGAATTATCAGGCATATTAACAATTTTTATGGTGGGGGATCATCCCCAGAGAGAGGGAACTCCTTATAAGGACATCCTTTTAAGAACTTATAAAAATATTTCTAAGTTTTAAGTCCTCTCAAGAGAGGAGACACTTAAAAATATTCTTACAAGTTCTGACCTGTACCTGAAATGAGAGAAGGATTACACAAATCGTACAGGATACCTTAACAATTTTTATAGTGGGGATCATCCCCTGAGAGAGGGAACTATTCCTGAAATGACAGAAGGGGTACACACAAATCAAAGAAGTCAATATATCTTGCTATTTCTTTATTAACAATAGAATACAAGTTTAGATTTTACAAGTCAACAGAATACATGTCGCCATATTGAAACAGGACTTACGACCTGCTAAGCCGCACACATATCAGCAAGTACCACTTCGTACAGTTCTACCGGAATAAGGAAATTAGCAAATTATTTATTTTCTATGTTATTGAAAATGAAAACAAATATACAGGGCGTCACAAAAGGAAATTTTAAAGTGCAAACAAAAAACTCTATACACTAAAAACATTGCTCGTTTTCACTCGACAAGCAAAGGAAACTAATTTCAAAAACAAGGCTTGCGACCAGCATACCCATGGTAAGTACAAGTATCAAGTTTAAATTAAAAAAAAACACCATAATACTAACAAATATTACCAAATTTTCACAGAATATCAGGGAAACTGATATACAGGGTGTTACAAACTGAGAAGTATAATATTTCAAAAGAAAATGTCACGTTCAAGTAGGAACAATAGCACTACCACTTTTCCCGTGACATCACGGGAAATTATTCTACAGGGTGTTTCAAAAACAATATTTTAAGAAATATCTAGTGTTAGTGAAAAACATATCGTAACTACTTGTTACCTGACATCGAAGGAAATTAACATACAGGGTGTTGTGAAAAGGAAATCAAAATAATAAATATGGCCTAGTTTTTACTATATAATTAGGAAAATTATAAACACAGGGTGATGCAAAAAGAAAAACTAAAATTCAAGTTGGAAAACTTCCTTTTTCTCTTTTTTCTTTTACTAAAGAAATCACCCCAAAACCTAACAATATATGTAATTTTCTACATAACATCAAATAAACTACAGGGTGTCACAAACAGACAACAAATAAATATAAATATATATAAAGAGAAAATTCCACGTTCAAGAAAGTAAACTCACATAAATTACTGATTTTGGGACATTTTAGCGTGAGACAAATACAGGGTCGTAAAGAAAACAACCATAAAAAAAATTAAATGTTCAAAAACGCAAACCCTGAAAGACTAACTTTCATCATTTATCACGCGATAACATTGAAAACTAACATACAGGGTGTTGCAAAAAGAAAACCTCTAGAGTTCCAACAGAAAAACATCCAAATAATACCAATTTGGCTTCTTGTGTGTTTGACATCAAGGGTAACTAATCTACTGGGTGTTGCAAAAAACAACTCCTTCTAAAAGGTGGATATAAAGTTCAGGAAGGAAAAACTAAATATTGCACATATTGCAAAGGTAAAACATAAACATTTTAAAGCGAATTCTAGAAATCTACAAAGATAACACAAGAAATATATAAATTAAATAATATTCTGACATGAAATAAAGAGAAAATGAGATAGATAAAACAAAAACCGGTTTGCATGTGTTAGTGCACCGCTCGTCGGTGTAAAAACAATGAGATGTTTACGTTATGTTGCTAGAATTTTTAGCTAAAAGGTCTTTACTATTACCTACTGCCAAACAAGTTTAAACGCGTTAGTTAATTTAATTGTTCCGTTTTAATAAACATATGATTATTTTATAACTGCAATAATTGAATTGATATCAGCGCAAATTTTTATAAAAACATTAATTCGATTATAACCTTACCAGTGTATAACGTGCCGCACATAGAAGGCAGGTACTGAAACAAAACAGAAAACATGAGTGAAAACAGTTTACACGATGCTATCAATATCATGGTGATAGTTACAATTATTCGCTGCATTTCAGAGGTTAATCGAATTGCCTCACTTACCTCAGCTCATAACTGGAAGCTTTTCCCAAAAATATAATCCGAGTCATTAACACTACACAACCAATACCTGTTACTACTAAATACGAGGGATTGTCTATCGATTATATAGCAATGTGCCGAATTAAAATCTCAAGATACGCGGTGTGTCGCGAGGAACGCTACGCACGATGCGACCGACCACATTGTTCACGTCTACTGCACCACTGCAGCGAGGCTCGTGTTTATACACAAACACCGATATGCACAAGCAGAAAACATGATCAATTCAACAAGGTCAAAAACGCGCGTTGCGCTAAATTTAATAATCTAACTCGTTGTTTTAAAACCTATTACATACACTATAATAACATTCTTGAAATATTATTGGGAGACATTAAGAAATAAACGCAAATCGTGACATTTGTACAAATTAACCGTAAAGAAACATTAAGAAAAAATGTGTAAGGAAATCATTCTAAAGTTTGAAACAGAAGCAAAACACTCATCAATGTTTTAGTGTTATCGATTGTCGAAAATGTGTAAAACTTTCACTCGATGGCAGAGCAAATACAAGCTGTGTCCCGACAGTACTATCAGCTCGGAAAATTCAAGACGACGCACTCGCCTGTACCCCACCGTCGCCAAGAACAAGGACTAGCCGGAGACGAACGAGCCTGCAATATTAAGAAGCATGTTTGCCGTCATTTAAAATAGATCCGAACTCCCAGCGGTGAAATTCCGTGCCCGGTGCGCACAAATCGAACCGCATCGCATTGGTATCGACTTGTCACACCAGCATCGCATTTAATGCATGCGAAGGGTTTCGACGGCTTCGACCACTTCGCAACGCGACGAAACACAGTGCAAACATTGCCGATGCGGCGGTGGGTACACATTTCTCGTCGTCGCCACCATGCAGCGGCGCGTGCAGTGTGCGTTGCGGATCGTTCGGCATGCATTATTCAGCGGTCCGCCGAATTGAATTTATATGCGACAGACGAATTCGGCGTGGCTGTGAGGGTGGGCAACCGCAATTAAATAATGACCCTATGCACCCCTTATAAAGAAAAACCAGTCGTGTACATCAACATTGCCACCGAGTGGTTTTGTTTTTACAACTAGTGCTCACAAAACCAAACCAAGCACCCTTCACTAATAGTAATGTAAGTCGAAACTAAAATATCGTATTACCTACTTAATCGGCAAATCATTCAAATTAATTTCTCGAAATGCAATGACACAATTAGCATATATTTTAATTAGAGACCATTAAAATCATTAAAAACGCATTAGTGCCATTTTATGTTACTCATACATATTCATTACAACCAACTACATGTAACTATGAATTCATTTCGGTCGAATACTTCCTGAAACACTTTGTACTATTTAAAAACCGAAATTAATTCGATGTTCGTTGAGTAACACGTTTCTAAGTGCATAGAACACATGCAGAATTTATGAGCGCGTGCAAATAAATTAGATACATAACTAAATTGAACCAGCATACATTGTTTTTGCAATAAAACATCGAAACGCCCGAACGAATCGCAGAGAAAATGCACATGCGGCGGCAATAAAGTATGCAATAACAATCGCCGGCTCCATACGAGTGCTGGCGCTGCAATGAAAACCTTTTCGATTTTATGTGCAGTTACGTGCGATTTGCATAATTATTCGTTGAAATCAATTTGGAGCGTGTGCAGCGAGCAGAACTGTGAGCCACCTCCAATTTACCAATTTACTAACTATATGTATTTGCAGCACACGCGCACACACATACAGGTACTCACACGTATGCAGATAGACAACGAAACGACACGAATGATTGGACAAATTGGAAACGCGAGCGCCGTGTCGAGTACGGGCTGGTAGCCTGACATTGTCTGACAGCTAACATTGCATCCACTTTCGCATTCGTTGGCGGTAGCTTCATCATTGCCGGCGCAAGTCAGAACTTCTGAAAATTCAATTCGATGCAACTGAAATCATGTGTGTCGCCATCTTGTTACACTAATTCAAGATGGCGTGTCAGGATCACACGTTTTTTGTCGGTTTGATTGCTTTAAAAACCAGTTTTTTGTGTGTGAAACAGACAATCGTAGCAGAATTAATTGCGGATCTATTACAACGTGAATGCAAGTCATATTCAGCAAAATTTATGCGATCGATCCAATTAAAGGTGACATCATATTTCTGCGCATGAGATACGTTGCATTCGGCGCGAACGCAATGACGAGAGCGAATGAATAACAGCCGACGCCATGTTACACATCGGGTTGCGAAGGGCCGGAATAAACGAACGCGAGCTGCGCGAGGATCGTTTGTTATAATTGTCTGTCCAATTAAATCGAAATTATAACTTGTGATTAAAACTCGTAAATCACTTAGAAATCAAATTTAATTACTCGATTTAACGAATGCGTTGTGTTCAATCCCACGCAGAAAATATTTGCAATGGCAAAACCATTTACCCCGAAATATGCAACATGTTTGCGAAATGGAAACTCACTTCGGCCGCATCAAGTTATTATCCACCTCAATTTTATTTTTTATTCCGCATTTTTTTTTCGTGTTTGATTTTTATTAAGGTGCCTTCTCATGAAAATAAACATAACGCGCAAATATTTGCCTCGACAAAGTTGAATGTTCAAATTTATTTCGCTCCTTGGTCCTTCCGTGCCTTCTCTCCGGTGTATTTACACTCGCCGTTTTTACGCGCGCAATACGTTGGTGAATTTATGAGCTAATATTTTCATATGGGCTACGCGACGCATTTGATATTCCATCGCGTCGCGTGAAAAACTAGATATCCGCGAGGAGTCGTTCCTCTCGCGCGCGGACCCAACCTGAGCGGCACACGCGCGTCCCACGTCTCCACCTTAGGGGAAATCATGGAGGTGGAATATTTATGTACCCCAAAGCCGCCAGCGGCAAGGACGACGAAAGAGTATGCGAAGAACGCTGCCTGAATACACAAATCCGGCGTGTTTATTCAATTTGGCTTCCCGCACGGGCCCTACCTGCTCTTACCACACTAGAGAAAAGCTTTGAAAAACGCAAGAAAGACTCGAAAATTGTTTGAGATTTCATCGCGTCGATAAATTTCATCGTAAATTGATTGTTTCTTGAAACAATCATACAAACACTCATGATTTCCTATATTTAGGAGCTAATCAACATAACCTTAAATCAGGAACATGTAATAACAAAATACGCTAACATTACAAGCACAGGCTGTCTTGAAGCTATAAATTATATTCACATGTGGGTGGGTGCGCATGTCTAGGCATTGTCAACACCGTAATGCTATAGACGCAATGATGCTAATTTGAAACCAAACATACGACTCTGTATTTAAATCACAATTTAAACGTGTTCGCAGGTACACATTGTACAAATTACACGTTCTGTAACAATGCGCGAATAAATAGCAATCAACAATAGTAGGCATTCCCCTCGGGTGTACCGGCGTCGTAAACAAATTGCAAATACAGTCAATTGACACTCGCTTATATAGTTGTGCAGCCAGATGACGACGTGAAAGTACGAAATGCGTACATATAAATTCAACGCCATTATGCCCACTGAGAGAGACAATTTATAAATTGCATAGCATAACAGGGCATGACATTCACGTCCACATTCACTACGTTTATAGAGAGGTAAAAATTGTCACAGCCTCTAAAATAGAAATAGCAGTGTCCAAAGTATCTGCTGATTTAAATGGTAGGAAGAGAGAGTTATTAATTTTTTGCATTACTATTTTGTTATTGACAGCTGAAAGGAGTAGTTTCCAATTTGTGAGCCTCGTTACGTATTACGTTGGTTGGTTTGTTTTCAATTTGTTAATTAAAATCCCGAGCGCTGGTGAATGTAAAAATAACAATGGTAGACAATTATTATTTTTTCCGTGTTGCCTTTTATAGAAACAAACGAGTACATCTCCATATTTATTATGCAAAATGGAGTTTCACCTCGAGCACCAACGAAGCTCGATCGATTCCAGCTTTCCATGCAGTTCAATTTCATTTCATTCGCTCGCAATTTTTATAGTCTCTTCATTTCGCCCATCACTACATGTTCAGCTCTTGCTTACTCTTGCTCAATGTTTAGTCGTTGGAGCGTTACCGTTCTCAATATAATAACGCATTAAATTGAATCCAGTGTGCAAACGATTTGCAAATGTTGCTTCGAAAAGTGCTCGCGACTTTTTGCGCTCACAGGCAAGTTTTATTATGCTTATCGCAAAAAGCGATTTTTTTAAAGCGCACAAGAATGAGAGCAATACGTATTCCGGCCATTCTGCGAAATATATAAATACGTCCCAAATACGGTCCGCATTCGCGTTTCTCCTGGTATAAAACGCGCCCGAATGTATTTTTCTCATTTCGCGTCGTTTTGTGGAGCACGCTCGCGACCCGTACGTTTTTCCAATTGTTTTTTACGAGTGTGCATTAAACGTTTTCTTGTTTGCCGTAACGAGTTCTCGGGGATCGTATCGAAACAACAAGCAAACCAGCAGATACGCTTAATAAGATCAATGCAATTATCGAGAGTTTGCTTCGAGATACGCGATGTAAACTTTTTATTTTTAATGATTTTCTATTCAATTCTGTTTACTTATATTCTACGTGCATGTAACATGTATGATGTTGACAAATATTAAAACACGTAATTAAAATGCAACCGTATAATTCAATGCAAATATAAAGTAAGTTTTTGCATACATCGGTTTTTAATTAAAAACGCCAAGATCAAAGACATAATATTTTTGACGCACGACTCTTGTATTTATGCAGAAGCGGCAAGAGCAAATCAAAATATTCAGTGGACTGAAAAGTGCATGTGTAATCGGAGAAGATAAAAATTCACATTATGCGAGCCTAAAATACGCTTAAGTAGTG